CCCTCCTGCGTAAGCTGCACTGGTTACCAGTGGTTCTCCAGGTCCGCTTCAAGGTGCTAGTCCTCACCTATAAGGCCCTTCATGACTTAGGTCCGGGATATTTGCATGACCTTCTCCTACCTGCCTCTCACCGTCCTGTTCGCTCACATAGAGCTGCTCTCCTCAGGGTTCCGACGGCGAGCCAATGTCACCTTGCTGTGCCCAGGAGTAGGGCGTTCTCTGTGGGTGCTCTCACCCTCTGGAATGAATTACCTACTGAGCTCCAGATGGCTCCTGATCTCCGCTCCTTCCATCGGGACTTGAAGACTTGGCTTTTCAAACAAATAGGCTGAGACTGATTCCGGGCTTTATTATTTACTACTAATTAATTATTTGGATTAAATTATGATTTTATTGTACTTGTTTCTTAACTTGTGTTCGCCGCCCTGAGTCCTTCGGGAGAATGGCAGCATATAAATACATGTAATAAATAAATAAATAAATAAATAAATAAATAAATAAATAAATAAATAGATGATGGATTAGCTGGCTTGTGATTGAGCTTGGTGTTAGAGGCAAACCTTTTAGGCTCAATGTCAAAAATTTGGAAAATGCTTCAACACTGCTAGCATTAAACACACACACACATGGACACAGGCACACACGCACACACGCAGACACACACACAGAGTTCTCCATCTCTCCCCATCATAATATCCCTAAGAGAGATCAGATCTGCCTTCTGGTCTGAAATGTGGAGAACCTGGCTGATTATTAGCTTTGGGGAATTGTGGGATTGTCCCACAGCCCAGCACTTCGTAGGAATTGCTGCACACTGGTTATCTTCAAGCAGTGTTCTCTTTCTGTTGACAGCTCCAAGGCAGCTCTGGGTTGCACGAGGCCTCTGTTCTTGAATTAGCTCCAGAAAATGTTCTTTGGGGCCTCCACAGCCTCCAAAAGCTGCACTAAAACATGTCCCATTCTCACAGGATTTTCAGAGACCCCACGTGATGAGAGCCTGTCCCTCTTGCAGGACTTCTGAAGGGTCTGGAGGTCAGGCAAGATCACACCCTCTGCACCCTCCAAAAATTGCAGAACAACAGGAGTGCTTTTCAGAATAGTTGTCAAATGTTGGTAAATGCTGGTGCATTACCCAAAATGTAGCATGTCAGCTTTACACGTGTAAATAGGCTTGATATCATTGGATTAGATCACACCCAGTTGTTACGTGTTTTTACTTTTGTTTGATGTTATGTATTTTGTGTTTTTTGTTTTATTGGTTATGGCTATATAAATTAAGAAGATAGATAAATAGGCCTCCCGAGCACCGTTTTCACTGGCAGAGGGTTGCAGGAAGCCATCGCAGCCGTAAACGGAGCTTGGAAGCCCGTTTCCGCTGGCAGATTGCTCAGGCCACCATAGGCGCCCCCCCCGACATGAGTGACGTTGAGCTGGCCATGCCCACCCCGGCCCCCCAAGGTCAAAGACAACCCTGATGCGGCCCTCAATGAAATTGAGTTTGACACCCCTGCTCTAAGCTATCTTGCCAGGACCAGTATACATCCCCAATGGAAGAGTAAGTTAGGCAGTTATGCTCACGATTATGCTTTTACCAATTATATTGGCTTGAATGAAATACATTAATCAGGGGCTTAATATCTCAGGTGGTTTCTAGTCTAATTGGCCCAGAAGAATAGAACTTAACTGGTTTCACTTTGATTTTCTATTAAAGCCTCATTATCTATGAGGTTTGAAAAAGTCCAACAAATTATTTAAGCAAAGAATTTTACATGACGCACCAGCAGGTCCTAATATCAGAAACCACTTATCCTGGAGGAGTTTTAAACATTTCCAAGCAGCCCCTTACTCATTTTACACATCATCTTACTCATCTAATCCTCTTGAAGCACCATGGAAGCAGCATTTTTTTTGAGTTGCCTTACTATTTTAAGTTTAGTGGTCTCAGAAGATAAATTTCACAATATCTCTAAGATCTGCCTTTTGGTCTGAAATGTACGGAACCTGTAAGGCTCATCGTATTCCTCTGTGTACTGTATAGGTAACAACATTGACTGATGACAACTATGAAAACAGGATGAACAAAGTACACTAGCAGAAGCATTAGCATTCAGTATTTTGGATAAATGCCAAGAACGATACATTTCTGCAGTTTTTTCTCCCCTACTGCTATTGGACAATACTAAACCTTCAAGATACAAGTGGGACTGTCGCCCCTGCCCTATGTGTCCCCATTAGTCATTCTGCAAAACCTGAGATATTCCATCACTTTCTGTGATTGAGAGAACAGGCATAAGCCTGGAGCATCAATCTGAATAGTAGCAACAGGATAACCATTGTAAAGATGACACAGATTGGAAGTGAGGTGCCTATTTGTAGTACAGTGCAAAAGGCTTGCTTTCCTGTCATGTAACTTTGACTATTTGCTCGGTAATGAGGTTTTTTTTTTTAGAAAAAGGAAATAACTGCAGAAATCTGTAGTTTCACCTTTTGTGGGAACATCTGGCATCTACCGTACAGGGTAAGAGCATGAATAGATAGATCTCTTTACAGAGGTTTGACTTTAGCCCACTTTACTTCTTGCTTCTTGGCCAAGACTGGTTGTCAGTTTTGAAAGTTGAAATTCAGCAACATCTGGACAGTGAAAGGATGCTCGTTCCTGAGAAGAAGCAGCTTATGATCTCTTTTTTCCTGGGTTAAGAAAGCTATCTAGCTCCGATTCCAAACCACTCATGCTATTTGATCACTTTTCTGCTTCACTTTCTTTATTACTGCAGGGGAGATAATATGATTTAAGTCCTGATCCTTTTTCAGGTGCATTGTTTGATTCCCCTTTATCCAGTAGTTTTATACCAGCTGCCCAACTTCTGGCTGAACTTAAAATCCCACATGCACGCAGTGCCCATTCAAATGGGGAAGGGCATCAATTCCATGGATGCGGACTGCCCCCAGCCCTCTGCAGTTGCCCCTGATCTTAGCTTAAGTAACTGAAGGAATTCTGACCAAGAACAGGATGGTATACAGAAGAGTGTGTATTTCACATACCTGTGTAATTATAGAATGCCTAGCCCTAGAGCAATATTTTTCAACCTTGGCAACTTTAAGATGGATGAGGAATTCTGGGAGTTGAAGTCCACCATCTTAAAGTTGCCAAGATTGAGGGATATCGGCTTGGAGTGCTCAAGAGGTTGCATTTTCAGCTACAATTAGTTTTTGAAACAACAAATGCAAGGGAAATAATATACGACATAACATAACCAAGCTCTGTGATGGCGAACCTATGGCACATGTGCCAGAAGTGGCACGCAGAGCCATTTCTCCGGGCACGAGAGCCGTCCAGTGTGCCAGCAGCTGGCGAATCTTTTCAGCACTGAGTGCCACAACGGGAGCGTGTGCTGATGCGCACATGCCAGAAACTGGAAGAGCAGCTGGCCAGTGCACATGCGCACACTGGGAAAATGATCTTCTGGTTTTTGGCATGCGCCTGTGTACCGGTCACCTGGTCTTCCAGTTTCTGGCACACATGCAGACGTGAAGACCACCTGACCCGTGAGCATGCGTATCCCGGAAACTGGAATATCATCTTTCTGGCACGCACATGCCGGTTTTCCGGTTTCTGGCATATGCATGCTCACTGGCCAGCTTGTCTTTGTGCATGCATGTGGGCCAGAAACTGGAAGACCAGCTGGCACATTGGAAACCAGAAGTTCATCTTCCCAGTGCAAGCACGCCATTGGCTGACTGCTCTTCCAGTTTCTGGCATGTGCGCATGCGCGCATGCTCCCATTTTGGCACTCAGTGCCGAAAAGGTTTGCCAACACTGAGTCCTAACTAATTGTGAATAAAAGCATTAGGTCAGAAATCAGAAGACCCCAGGTTCTAGCTGTGCCTTAAGAATGGAAGCCAGCTACCATGTTTCCCCCAAAATAAGACCGTGTCTTATATTTTTTGAACCCTGAAATAAACGCTTGGCCTTATTTTCGGGGAGGTCTTATTATTTTGGGCGCGTGGAGCAAGATGGGCTCCTCTTGCCGTCTTACCTGATTTCCAGCTCTGTTTAAATATTTTTGGGGAGGGCTTATTTTCAGGGGGAGGCTTATTTTAACGCATACGCTCAAAAGTCCAATTGGGCTTATTATCAGGGGATGTCTTATTTTCAGGGAAACAGGATAGATGACTTTGGGCCAGTCACTCTTTCTCAACCCAATTGTTACCAGGAAAACCGTAGTAGCACGCCAAGAGTGACTCAAAGGCACAAAGGATTTTGTCTCCATCGATTTTGTCTGTGGAGAGTCTAATGGTCATGCTTGTCCCAAAGGTGTTTTTTTCAAAGGGCAGTTGGACTTCGTTTTTCACTGAAGATGTTTCGCTTCTCATCCAAGAAACTTCTTCAAGAATTGAGACACCACAGGATTTTAATTTGAGCAGGTGAGATATAACCATATCGTTCTCTTAGCAATATCCTAAGGCTTTAAGAAGCCTGAGTGGCACAGCAGACTAATGCTACTGTTAAAGGTAGTATTTAGCTTCCAGCTGCCTGCAATTACTGCGAGTTCAATTCTCACCAGGCTCAAGGTTGACTCAGCCTTCCATCCTTTCTAAGGTAGGTAAAATAAGGACCCGGTTTGTGGGGGCAATAAGCTGACTTTGTATAAAATATACAAAAGTATGAAGGCTATTGCTTAACGCACTGTAAGCCGCCCTGAATCTCTGGAGAAGGGCGGCATATAAATCAAAATAAATAAAATAAATAGCGACAACCCCGAAGTGATTTCACGCTGCCTTCCTTGGGGATATTTTCCCCACTCCCCAATCTAATCCGCAGCATACAAGAAAAACAATCCCCCAGCGCTCTGCCCACTCACTCCTCAAGGGCGAGTCTACCGAAGTCTTTCCCATCAGCCACGGTCGGTTAAGTGCTGCCACCTAACGGTGCCTCAATTCATATCACACACCTATGGCCTATGTATGCCGATTGTGATGGTGCAAACCTTTTCGGCAGATTAGCATTCAGATGTATGCAATTATGTAACCTTTTCCAAACCAAAAAAGAGCAGATCCCGTTGCATTTCCGACCAAAAACCTTGAGGGAGCTCCGATCCCGGCTCCGTTTGCCTTTTGACTCGGGGTTGGGAAACGTCGGGGGCGTTGCTGTGAGCCCGCCTCGACGCGACCTACCGCGAGAGGAGCCTGTGGGCGGGCATTGGGACGTCGGTTCTTTCGCCCCGCTTTCGTTCCTGCACGCGCGACCTTTGCGGAAGGTTAGTCCGGATTCCCCTCGCGTCGCTCCTCTCTTGCTTCCCCCCCCCCACCTCCCCTTCAAGTTGCCCTTTTTAGCGGGAGGGAGACTGGAAATAAACGAGCTTGGTTTGAGGGTGGCGACATCGACCCAGATTTGTTTTTAAGGAGAAGCGGGGGGAGAATTTCAGGAGCAAAATCGAAAGTGTTTTGGTTTTTTTTTTTTTAGTTGCACAGGTAGCCCGGTGTGCACACTTTCCGATCTGCACCCTTTAAACGCGCATCTGGCAAGTGCATGGATCTGGCAAAAATGGCCAGGCGCAGGAAACATGCACCTGGCAAAATTGGTCAGGCGTAGAAAAGTGGTAGTTTCCCCCCCCCCCCCCTCCCCCGCTTGGAACACGCCCCCCCCCCTTCTCTGTGGACTTTCTGCCTTTCCCTGGCCTGATGGGAGGTTGCGCAAACCCCGTGTTTGCGCCTTTGGTGCTTGCCCCCCCCCCCCCCCCCCCCCCCCGGTCTGAAATTCGGGTTAAAATGTCGCGATGAAGCATAAACCGGTATCAGAACTGGGGTTTGTACAACCCATTCGGCTAAAACGTGTGTCCGATGCTCCGCGATCACAAGCCATGATTAGTTTGCAAGATCAGTTGTCGAGACATGAGAACTAGTTTGGCATGTAGCTTGTCCAGACGATTAAAAGCAGCGTAGAAAGCATTCTCGAGTCCCAACACGTCTGGACCTGGTTTTGAAGAACCGCGTGTCTTCCTTCTGGCTTGCTAAAGTTTTGTGGGAATTTACTTTTGTCCCGAGATTTGGTATCTTTTTTTTCCCCCAACGGAAAGTGTACACCGTTTTTTCAGCATAGGTAAACATTGCTCTATCTTTTTTCTTTTAAGTCGGTGGTATGAAATATTTACAAGCGGTTCACCTGAAAAGAAAGTCTGATTTTAAAAAAAAAATCTGGATGTGGTATTTATTTATTTATATTTGTGTTACAGCATGAGTGTGGATTGGATTGGCTATGGTTATGCTGCATTGGTCGCCTCCGGTGGAGTAGCTGGCTATGTAAAAGCAGGTATAGTATCCCCCTTGTTTTCTACAGCTTTCATCTTCTGTCAGTTTCTTGGCACAATTAAAATGCAATTTTTATTTGTCATGTTTATGTAGTGTATATTGAAAGTGGTGACCCTTTGAGAGCTCTATGCAGTGAAATTTCATTTTAATGTATGCTGATAAGTGTACATTCAGAGTGACAATAAAGTTATTCTAAGACTAAGTCTATTTTGGAACGTCTTACTTCATTACAGTTTAAGATAACAAAACTGATTACTAGATTTGTCATTTTGCGAAAAGCTTGGGGTGGATTTTAAAAGTATAAGCAGTGCATGCTCCATTCTACCACAACCCAAGCCCTTCCTCAAGTTCCGGAACTTCTAAGAACAATGCAATTTCAATTTAATGCAATAATTTCAATTTAAAATATCTTAATTCCCAACTGCCAGAATGCTAGGATCCAGGACAAAATTCTTGGGCATGAATGCAAATAAACAAGATTACTATTCAAAGCTTGCCGTCATAAAGAGAATTACACTTGTTGCAGATTTCTCCTTGCAACAGTTTTGTACATGACTTTTTATAAACCCTGTGTTTATTATTCCTGATGTGTCCCTCCCCCAAGTTCTCTTTTCTCCAAAGAAATGGCTAACTTGTAGCTTTGATAAGAGAATTCCCTCCTACCAGAGCTTATCATAAGGCTTGCTATAATTTGTGATGGACAAAATTCAAAGGCACTCTGCAGTAAGCTTTTATGACCTCTCCCACTAGAGCAGAGGTGGGCAACTATGGCCCTTTTATGACTTCTGGAATTCAATTCCCAGAATTCCTGAGCTAACATGGCTGGCTCAGGAATTCTGGGGGTTGAAGTCCACAAGTCATAAAAGGGCCATATTTGCCCACCCCTGCACTAGAGTAAAGCTAGAAGAAACACAGCAGTTCATTGGGTTAACACATTTAATGTTGTAACCAAGTTTTGTTGTCTGCTTAAACTAGGCAGTGTCCCTTCCTTAGCTGCTGGTCTCCTCTGTGGTGGGTTAGCAGGATTGGGTGCTTATCAGCAGTCAACGGATCCAAAGAATATTTGGCTTTCTCTGGGTAAGGTTTTTTTTTTTTTTTGCATCAATATTCCACACACAGAGACATGTTTACATCAATGTATGTTTGTGTATGCACCTACACTTTATGAGATTACCTTCAATACATGTATTCCTTTTGCCTTTAGCCTGTCCTGAGATTCAGTGTACTTGCAATTCAAGATTTAAATTAACGGCAAAAACATAGACCCATGAAGTATTTAGCTATCTAACAATGTGTTCAAGTTTTCACCAGTGATGTGTCATCTTTTTTTGTTCACCTTGTAGTTTATATGCATTTTAAGTTCTCACTTTATAAAGCATGCACTATTTCTACATTTATACATATTTGCAACCAAACCCTTATATTCATACCAACCTTTTTTGTGGATCTTGGTATTCTTTTCCCACTTGTGTAATTTGAGGTCCAAATCACTTCTAACAAAGCAGCACATTGGAGACTAGTACAGGGAGTCCTCAACTTATAACAGTTCATTTAGTGACAGTTCATAGTTACAATGGCACTTTGTATGTGCTGTTACATACAGACTTATGACCATTTTTCATAGTTACAACCTTTGAAGCATCCCCATGAACATGTGATCAAAATTCAGATGCTTGGCAACTGGTTCAGTTATGACTGTTGCTGTGTCCCAAGGTCATGTAATCACCTTTTGCAACCTCCTGACAAGCAAAGTCAATGGAGAAGCCAGATTCACTTAATAACTGGATTACTAACTTAACTGTAGTGATTCACTTAACAACTGTGCCAAGCAAGGTCGTAAAATGCGGCAAAACTCAGTTAACTAATGTTTCACTTAACAGAAATTTTGGGGCTCAATTGTGGTTGTAAGTTGAAGACTACCTGTAATTGCATAACTAAGAGACAGTAAAAATTCCAGATTCATGGCTCTGAAAATAATGTATGAGGGCAGAAAGTAGCAAATTTCAGTATGATCCATACCCACATAAAAGGGGGTTTCTTATAGTATCAACCCTTTCCTGACACCATGATTTTATTTGATTGCACAGTCTCCCTTAAATATCATAATTAGAACACTTAATAATTTGGGTTGTCATTTTTTTTTCTAGCTGCATCGGGAACCCTGACTGTCCTGATGGGAATGAGATACTATAACTCTAGAAAATTCATGCCTGCAGGGTTAATTGCTGGTGCCAGGTACAATTCATATTTTTCCATTGTTAATTGTAGGATTATTGTTTGAAAACAACAGAAAATTAGACAATGTGGTGGGTTTTCTTTGGATAAACACATGGCATAGCCAAGAACATATTGTGTAAGGATTTACTAGCAATTTACTGACATGTTAATTTATTATTTAAACTCTATTAATGGTGGATTTCTCTTTTTATTTAAACAGTCTATTAATGGTAGGCAAACTTGGACTACAGATGATGGAAAAACCTCTTTAGCCATAATTGTGCAACAACAAGAAAAAAGAGACCTACAGAGGACTGCCCTCCCAATGCCTGTTCAGAACAAAACTCAAGACAATATTAATGCTTTGTAAACGTTTACAATTTGCAAAGTTTTTAAACTTCAAATTCTGCTCAGGTTTTGTAAAGCATCAATCATTATAGAATTATAGTTTTCATATCTGTTTTCTCATGAATGCATTTGTCACAACTCCAAACATCTTATGATGATGAACATGTGAAACATGGTAAACAGGAAATACACTTAATTTTGTGTCATCATATTTCCAAGCTGAAATTAATCTCTCTGTATATCTGTAAGATGTTCCACTCAAAACAAAAAGTTTATAAGTTTTCTTTATAATTGACTAAAAACAATTAAATGTCTAAAAGCCTTTTGAATTGTGAGACTTATTCCTAATTTTAAACAAATGTGAATTCCAAAATTTTAAGCTGTAATCTTTTAGGGTTCAAGGCTAATTAGGCTAATTTTATGTTACCTGGAAACACACAGACTAATATTTTTATCAACATTTTTCAATGAGTACCTTTTCAAATATATTACTGAATTAATTCTGAATGTAATGACGCATTTAAAACTGTAATATCTGTACCCACAGATCTCCTGATCATTCTTCACATTTTTGTACAATTGGAAGTAGATACAAACATGCTTAGAGTAGTTCCATTGAAATAAAACGTCTGAGTTAATCATGTTTAATAGTTTTACTCCAGATATAAATAAATCAGAGTGCAATTTACTGCTTCTAGAAAGCTTGAGAACATTTTACATGGTAAGTCTTTATATGGCCAAATCAGTCTCTAAGAGAAATGGGCATCCCATTTGAAATTACTGAATGCTATGTATCAGGGGTGTCAAACCCTGAAAACAGCAAAGGACCGGCCCACAGTGCCTCTGCCAGCAAAAACAGAGCTCGGGAGGGGTGCATGTGGCCCTCCCGGGCTTTGTTTTCACTGGCAGAGCCCTGGAGGAGGCTGTCACAGCTGAAAACAGAGCCTGGAAGGACAATGGATTCCCCAGCCCCACCCGCGCCATCACAGGTGCCCCCAACACAAGTGATGATCTAGCCATGCCCAGGCAAACCCCCCCCCCCAAGAGATCAAACCCAACCCTGATGTAGCCCTCAATGAAATCGAGTTTGACACCACTGCTATATATGTTTAATGTTGGATTAGGCTTTCCACACCCTACAGTTCACTAAAATGGACCCTGGTAGAGCGGCAAACTAAAGTATCAGCTGCCTGCAATTACTGCAAGTTCAAATGTCACCAGGCTCAAGGTTGACTCAGCCTTCCATCCTTTCTAAGGTAGGTAAAATGACCCAAATTGGGGGGGCAATAAACTGACTTTGTATAAAATATACAAAAGTATGAAGGCTATTGCTTAATGCATTGTAAGCTGCCCTGAATCTCCGGAGAAGGGCGGCATATAAATCAAATTTAAAAAAAAAAAAGTCATATGATTTGATCATTTTAATAATGTATATAAAATATAAGCAACTATCAACAGGTCACTTCTATTGTAAAGAAAACTCCGTTTCCCAATATTTAGAGAGTAATTGTGTTGAAAATGCAGACTTCTGCTTTTCTCAGGTACCCAGAAAAAAAAAAAACTTTTGTACAAACCTTTTTTAGATTTTCAACAGTAAACACTCAGGTAATACAGGATTCATTGCTGTATGTCAGACAACATGATGATGTCCTCTGAAGTGTTTAAAAGCATTTTAAAAACAGAATTCAGTATTACAGGTAGTCCTTAACTTACAACCATAATGGAGCCTGCTAATTTAGTTGTAAATTGTCATGATAAAGTGGGTCATTGTGTGATCAACCCGATTTTACCTTTTTTTTCTTTCTTGCAGCAATCATTAAGCAAATCCATTGTTAACCGTGGTGCATTTTCAAAAAATGGAAGTAAAAAATCAATTTTTGACAAAATTGTAGTCATGTAACTGTGGTAAAGCTACATATAAAACCATAAATGTGGGGTTGGTTGCCAAACACCCAAATTGCAGTCATGGGATTGCGGGAAGGACGGCCTTCGGAACCAGGTTAGAAGTAGTTTTTGTGGGGGTCTGTTGTAACTTTGAATGGGTGCTAAGTGACCGATCTTAAGTTGAGGACTACCTGTACTGTATTTTGATATACTGATAATACTTTATTGGATAAGAGCAAGAGCACGGATTAATTTAAGCACAAGCAAGGCCTTCTTTCTCAGTACAGAATTCCATCTCTTATTCAAGGAAAAAAGCCTCAGTTCAGCAAAAGCGAATGTTGAGCATATTTGGAGAAAACACTCATGTTTTAATAAAATTATGCCAAAAAAAAAAAAAAAGAGTAACAACAGAGTTCTTTGCCAAAACAACTATCCTGTAGTAATTTCTTCCCTTTTACATCACCAATTTAAACTATTTTATGTCAATATATGCAAAGGAGTATAAAACATCGGGATTAATTAACATGTCTATAATACACCCTAGTTAGCTCTATTTTTCAAGAGTATATAAAAAGGCAGAAAATTTAAAAAAATTATGAAGTGCAGAAGGCAGAAAATTAAGCTGCTGTTCACGTAATGATACCAGGATTACTCTTGGGTGTACTGAAACATATGCACAGCTTAATTATTTTCCAGGTGCCATTCAAAGGGCGTTTTTAATTTCTTAAACCTAATACGGTTTAGGCTTGATGATCTAAGAGATTACCTCTCTCTGGGCCTTAAAGATCAGCAAACAAGGCCTCACAAAATGTCTAACTAAAATCCATTAATCAGGCACCTAGGACAGGCTATTCCACCAGTTCCAGGCTTTGAAACATTATTGCAGATTTTACACTTGACTATTTTTATCCCAGCTTATGAGAAAAGAATCAAGATTTTCCTCTTCAATCAGCCTTTTGAGCTGGCTGGAGATTATTTGTATAAACATATTTTATATGAATAAATTGTTGGGGTTTTTATTTATTTATTTAGCCTACCAATCATCTTCAAAATACCAGAAAATCAGGATGTACAAACAAATAAATATTAAGCTATAAATACATCACTTTTTCTGATGGAAGACTTCTATAATATGTTGTGTTCCTGAGAAGTTCACTTTATTTTTTTTTAAAAAAAGATTTTCAGTTGAAAACCAGCCTAATTGCAAAGGCAACTTTGTGCTGGTTTTTTAAGGTAGATTTCTTTAAGACAGCATTTCTAACACAGTGAATTATGTAAGTTTTGAAAGACTGAAATAAGTCAATTTAATATTACTGCTATTCTGTATTGGGATAAAATATTGCACACATAACAGCAACTTTAAAAATTATTCAGTAATTGGCCTTTATATTATTAATTCAAGGTTTCATTATGTAAATACACTTAACAGTAAATCCTACTGAAATTGAGACAGCATATTTACGTGCATTCTACCTTAAGTCTTAATTCAAATCAAATATGTCCTCCACAACAATAGTGTACAATTTAAAAAAATAAAATACATACAAAATACTTTTCAGTATGCAAATAACATTTTACAATTGAATAATAATATATAATAAGAGCTATTTTAACAAGGCTAGATTGTCAATTTCAGTATAACAAATTAAATGTATTTAGCATTTGGAAAAGCATAGTTTTAAGAGTGACTTCTGTTAGATAAAGCAAGAGTTCTTATATATTAAAGAAATCACTAAAAATATGAAGTTGAAATATCACATACATTTTGGGACATCGTACTTATGACATTCAAAATATGTCTTTAGGCCAAATAATGCTATCAATGCTATACTACAGAATTAAGTTTGAAGAATAATTTCTGGCAGTTATTACCAGATTTTAAGCAATTCCTTTAGGAATTAAGAGAGAATTCTGGAGTTATTCAACTCTGGTTACCAAGTGAAGGCACTATAGTTAAGTTGACTAATTCTGTGATCAAATTCAACTAAAAAAATTAAGGGAAAAAGCAAAGCTACAAATTTACTCAGATCTCCTGGAAATTATTTCTGAAATACCACCAGAATGCCTTCTTAGAGAGTCACAAGTAATAATTATTTAATTGCTTATTTTTGGTTAAATAATGTTATCTGGCATTCTTTCCAGGGAAGGATCCTTCCTGAATATCATTCACTCATTTCCCTGTTGCAAGGCCAAATCTGCATATAATGCCCTAGAAAACTTTCACCTCAAGCAAATGGCCCCACAGATGCATTAAGTTTCTATTTTCCAAACACTTCTGCAAATAAAAGTTTCCCTCTTTTCAGAATCAACAGTAACAGTTGATATATGCATATAAGTATATCTATGCAATACAGGATAGCCTGTAAGGTCTTGGAATCGGGACCAATGCATAGCACAGATGACTTATCTTTCTTTCCCGCCTAGAAGTTCCATAGTCATAACCCGAGACAAGTTGTTCACAGATCAAAGGAAAATGTTTTAACATCTTCATGTGTACATTCACAAGAATCATACACAAGAGTAATCCTATTCCTGCAAAATCTAAAATAGAACTGAACCTTAGGGGTACACCACTTTTTTACAATACTAGTAATAGTTGGCTCAGTGACTATGTCTTCATTCTCTACAATCAAAAGAAATAAAGGTATAAGTCAACCAATTAAGGTATAAGTCAACCCAAATCAAAGACAAATTAATTCAGCTTTAGTTTCTCTTGATTATAGTTGGGCAATACAGTGGAAAATTCATCTATTACTAATTTTTTGCTTTTATTGCTCAACTCAGTGTTATAGAAGTACCATATCTTGAAAGTCACTCTTTATTTTTATAATTTATTGCCTATTTAAATTAGCCATGATTGTCCAATGGCTAATATCTTTTACATGCCTTCGTATTTTTGACAGTTTTTCAGAAGAAATGATCAAAGGGACTGCAAACCAATTTCTGTTCATTTCAGTAAGAATATACGAATTTTTAGTTTTGGCAAGGTAACTTTATAGAGAATACTTCGTAATGTAAGCAAAACAAAAAAGCCTGCCTCAGAAGCACTATTTTTGAAGAATATTTTCTAAATAAATGTATTTATTTTCTATATTTTCCCCTTAAGAGATAATAAACTACAGGCTCTCATGTATTTCCAGAATTGTTATTCTATTAGTAGAAATATGCTTTAAAGTGTCCCGGAGGCAAAGAAATAAAGGATATAAATAGTCATGGTATGCATATGTGAGGCAGGAAAGGACTTCTACCGATGCCCTCCGTACTTGGCTACCCAGTCAGTTCTTCCATGTACAGGTTGCGCTGGTGGTGGGTGAGTTAAAATATTCATGCCTTTTGTGGCGGGGCTGTAAGTAGGCCCTGGCAATTGGGCACGAGAAGCTTTGGTTTTCCAAGCATATTCTGAAAACAAAATTACAAAACCAATACAAGCAAATCCACTGACTATACATCCTGCTAATACTTATTCCCCTCTTAAACAGAATCGAGCTAAAATTCAAAGCATATACTTCCAAGTAAGGATCTTTATACAATAGATAAAACTATGCTATGTTCCAAAAAGGTTAGAACATAGTGATAAGAAAGGGGAAAAAATGTGTTAATTGTTGAAGAATGTTATTGTTTCTACAGTCACAGTAAGCCTTTGTTACTACAGCGATAATAGATTATGGAGCTCAGAAAGACAGCCAAACGGACACAGACTGACAAGGGATAAAGAAAGTGTCCAAAGCAGCTCTGATTCTATATACTGAGAAGTGGCAAAGTTCAGAAATAGCAGCATGATCAGGAATTAAATATATAATATGCTTTCAAATATAGATGTGTGACAGAAAAATGGTAAAAATCATCTATTAATCACTCAGATGTCCAGAGAACTACTATATGTATGAACAAAGAATTTGAATTGTATTCTGATTGCATTTGTGAAAATCAGCCTTAAGAATTCATTTTGTATTTCAAAATGATGATCATTAGTACACCATGGAGACTATTGAAGTGCTGAGCCACTAATGTGTTTATTTTATGAATTCAACAGTAAAGAAATGGGTGTTCTTTGCATATAATATCAGTTGACTAATTCACTTGGAATGGGGGAATTAAGTTCTCTTAAGTTTCCCTCAATGTACATAGTAAACTTAATGTGTTTTTCCGATTTACCAAAGACCAAGCAGAGTAAAAAAGTCAGGTCTTGTCATCTCATATTGCTGTTCCAAGGTTCCCTACCTCAATACTGCTCTGCCTACACCCTGGGTCCATGTTCTCTTGCTAAAAATCCACTTCCACAGCCCTTATATCCAGGTGGAGGTAACGAGCCACCTGCAACAGCGAGTCAGTAAAAGACAGATTTTCTAATAAAATTGTCACTTTCCAAAACATGGGATTTCAGCTTGGGTTTTGCCCTGCACCCTATTCCCTTTGACATTTAAGCTTTTTTCAAGATAAAAAAATCCAATTAAATTTATACTATTCTGAACAGAAGAACATAAAAATAGTTTAGGGATGAAATGGTGCAAGCACTACAACAAATAAGCAAGACTATAGTGAGAATTCCAGTCTTGTTCATTGACTCTAACTGCACTGCTATGTCTGCCCATCTAATAAGGGTCAATTAATTGTCATGCAACTCTAAACTAAATATTGTATTATTCATGAATCACAGAGCAAGAAATTACTAAAACACAACTTAATACAATGCAATGTATGCCTGCTATATTAACATTTGGGATATATTTAAGAGGGAGCATTGGACATATTTTGGAATTTGCCAGTAGCAAAAGAAATGATTACTATATTTATCTGAAAGAAAGATGAGCCCTCCCAATGAAAAGCAGTCAGGAAAAAAATCTTACAACACAGACAAAAGTTATACGATGTCCACTTTCCACATCTTGTTAATCCTAGCTAAAATCCATCCTTAATATTTCCCTTCCTGAATAAATGCATGCATGTAATGCACTACTGTATGTATTTAGCAAATTTATTGCTAAATTTGTGCATTTTTATTTCCTAAGGGGCTAAAATAAAAAACTGAGCTCCAAACTTAACAAAATAGGCCTATTTGTGATTTTCCCATATGGTTCCCAGCCTGCAGAAGTTGTTCACAACAAACTGTGAATGGATTTTAGCAAATGGATGCTAAAAACAGGTCAAAATGATGGGGTTTTTTTCTATGGATTTGGAAAGAAATAAATTTTGTTCTGGAAAGGGAAGGTTAATTAAATTTTGGATGATGATAAGGATGATTGATAGGAATCTCCAATTAAATCTTGTTTAATATAAATTTAATTTAATACATTATATCCCGAGTATAACTCAGCAAATCTACCTACCTAGGCACCAACCCAAATCCTTTTTAAAATGCACAACAGATGAATTAAACCTATATAACTTCATTTATTTCAGCACAATGTAAGTAAGATCATTTCGTACCTGTAACTGATGGACCAAGAGGTGCCAATTGTATCCTCTGACCTGCTGAACCAACCTCTTTTTTGTGAAATGAAGGGATATATCCTCCAGGAGCATTGTAAGCAGCACCAATAAAGCCAGCATTTCCTACAGCTTGATAAACAAAATTAAAATTCAGGAGGGGGCTAGATAGTAAAAACATCCTTGCAAATATGTTGCGTGAATGAGTAAATAAATCAGTCGATCAATATTGTAGTGCTATTCATAAAGAGGAATATCTATTGTACTCTTTACTCATATATAACTAATTTTATTGTGTAATATATGATATACACATTGTATAATATATAACTTTTTCAAGAAAGCTTTACAACAAGAAGGCATGTGCAGATTGTCATTTTTTGCATGGGGATGGTCTCCCGGTTTATAGACTAGTGCCTTAACCAGTAGACCAAACTGGCCCTCAAAACTTTAAGCTATTATCAAAAAAGATGGAATATCAATCAATCAATGAAATAAGGACAAGTCCCTATCATAAAACATAAGATTCAAAATTCTTCACCCCGAGTTAAGTTTTCCACCTACCATAGGTGGAACATAAAAGCCAATTATAGCATATTTTTAAAAAATTCTACCTCCATTCTCCCAGTGTTGGCTCCCATTACTACATCTTAACAAATATTGTTAGCCTATGAAGATAAGCTTTTGGCAGAGTCCTGCAAACAGGATTTTTGCTGTGCTAATCCAGTCAAACTGATTTAATAATATACAGGTAGTCTTTGACTTGCACCACTCGTTTAGTGACTGTTTGAAATTATGATGGAGCTGAAAAAAGTCCAGTCCTCACATTTATGATGGCCTTCACACTTACAACTTTTGTACCATCCCTATGGTCACATGATCACAATTCAAATGCTTGCAACAAGCTTGCATTTACAACCAATTATAGTGCCTTGCAGTCATGTGATCACAATTTGCAACCTTCCCAGCTGGCTTCCAACAAAGTAAGTCAAAGGGGAAAGCAAAATTTGCTTAATTATTGTGTGATTGACTTAAAAACCATGGTGATTTGTTTAATGTAACAAAAAAAAAATGATCATAAAATTGGGCATGATTCATTTAATGACCACCTCACTTACGTGTGGAAGTTTTGGTTCCAACTGTGGTCATAAGACAAGCACTACGTATATTCTTAAAATGCATTCCATAAACAACAGTAACAGAATAAGATGACAAAATTAATAATTTTGGATTAGCAATCTGTGACAACAGAAAGATATAAAGTGCAAATAAGCAGTTTTTTTGTATTTGGAGATATTCCTCAAGAGTACAAGATAGCTACTTTTTCATAAATTATACAAAACAATGGTGAAATAGATAAAGTAAAAAATCTTTATTGCTGTATATATAATACACAAATCAACAAAGCAGTTTTTGTTTTTTTCTGTAAATTTTTCTGCATTAGGAAGCTAAACTAAACTAAAGATCTAACCGTTCTAACAGTTCAAAATGACTGTTAAGAGATGCAGATTAAGACAAATATGTTATTTATATACTGATGGGATTTAAGCAGAAGTTGAACAAATAGAAGAAAGATAATGAGGTTGAGACTGACTGCTCAGGCAAAAATCAATACAGGGATCTTTAAAAGACGAACTCATATCAGGGATAATCTAAAATTGTCCGGCTGTTCTTACAGTCATTTCTGTAATTATTTTACACAAGAACAATATATGATAGAGACATTTGGAAAATTGGATACTTCTTTGGGCATCCCACTACAAAAAAATTACCATATAGCTAAGAGTAAGCATAAAGTAGTAGATAAAATGAGAAGAGATTGGTGTGCTTGCCATTGAAGGAAACCCAACAGCCAAAAGAATTTGATGTTATAGCATTTATAAACTAATACTGGACAAAAATGGACAGATCAAAGATGTGATTTCCTTATTGTATACTAGAACCTGGGGCATCCCAATGTAATTGATTGCAGTAGATCCAGGACAAACAAAAGAAAACATTTCCCTCACACAACTGATGTGTGACAGTTCACTATTAAGTATAACTGTTGACAGAAATATGCTGAACAAAATAGTTCTTTGATCTGATGCAGCACGGTGAAATCTGAAACAGATATTGTATATCCTTTTCATTCACCAATATCATAAATGAATCCTAAATAGGTTTTAAAAAATAGATTGTGGAACTTTGGTTATTACGATTTACAAAAACGGAACGGAAAGAAGAAATATATTTGGCAAGTGACAGCTTCAGCAATGTTACTTTAGAGACACTGGCCTTAATGTTTCATTCAAACTTTCCACAAGTGTAAAGTGTAACCAGATAATTATAGAACGGCATATCTGTAAATGAATGCATTTAATAAAGCACCCATTACATAGTTCTATCTGGTTATGTATTTGTGTATATGCTGTACACGATCATGAAGTAATTCTAGGCAGTAAGTAGGCAATCCTTCTTACTAGGGTTAAGAAAACATATAAGCAGTATATGCTGTATTCTATATTCATTAGAAGAGATTATGAGGGAATAAATTATTATGCACTACTTAGTGGCCTGTTGCAAGAGCTAAGTTTTTACAGCTATGCAACAGCTCAACAGTGTCAGGGCCATTCAAGGGAGGAGCTTCACAGGAGAGATGAACCTACAGAGAAAGTATGCCACAAGGTGACAATATTTTACAGCCTACGCCCTGAACCTCTTTCTTCTAATCCCTAGACTCGAATTTCAAAATCAATCCTTCCCAAGGCAGAATACTTCCCCACCCCTCGTACCAAACACAGTACATTCTCATATATTTATGTCACTTCTTTCAAGTGTGTTGGGCGAAATAGGAATAAATAATTGGATAGCATCTCCCTCAGAACTCAGTGAAAAAGGGAGGCAGGCAAGCAAACAATTTACTGGGACCAAGCCTGCCCTCTTAAGCTAGCTCTTCGAAGGAATTTTTTTTAAAAAAGTAACATCAAATTAATTGGCCTCACATAATATTCATCTCGGATCCTAATGACCTCTCCTGAATTCTTACAGTAAAAGGCAAATCGTGGATATCCAAGAAAAAACAAACAGATTTCTACAAGAAATGTAGAAGACCTATCCATTGAAAAACAAGGATTGTTTCGGCTTCTGAATTCCAAACAGAAGCACAGTAAAGTAACAAAGTGTCAATCCAGGTAGATTGGGGGGGGGGGAGCTAAAGAAGTTAAAATCTATGTATGATTTATACTTCAATTCAAATTTAATTATTTAATGACTATATATTGTCATCCAAGACTCTTTTTTAATACTGACATTGGTGTCCAGGCTGAGAACTGTTTACTCTTTGCAGGATGTCAATAAATGTTTAAAGTGCTGCCTTTCCCAAGAAAAATAAAATAAGGACTTAAAAGATGAAATGAAACAGCTAATATATCAGCAACCACACACAGTATTTGCTGGTACAGGTTTCTTTACAAATAACAGCATGATAGCAAGAATTCTTATGGGCACAATACATAAAAATACACAAATGTTATGTGTGATAGTTTCATTTCGATAGCAATGTTTTTGGCAAACAGAATGGTGAGTATATAATTTTCATTCATTAAATGGTATATGGAAATTTGCAAAAACATACTAATCTCTTCCGTCTTTGTGTGTTTACTTTTCTATTTTCTAGATTTAAAGAAGGAAGATAATAAAAATATGGATATTCCAACCATAAACTAGAAAGTATCAGGCATTATAAAGAAACAAATGATTACTATATCAAATGGTGTGAAATTATGTATCCACAGTTTTTGGATAGCATACAACAAAACAAGTAACTAGAAGGCTTCTTATGACTTGCCAGCCAATAAAGTCTATCAACTACATCCCTTTGATCAAAAAATATTTCAAAGGTAGTCCTTGACTTATGACCACAACTGATCCACTGCACCATTCACAAGTTCAATGCAATTCATCATTCAAAGTCACAAACGTTACCGGAATGTAGCTGCCCAAGTGGAAGCAGAAATGATATTCCATTCCAAAAACTAAAATTCTCCATAATTAAAACATATTGCAGATATGCAGGAAATGGACACCTGAGTTTTTATCAAATCACAACAATAATAACTCTACCTGATGTATTGTGTTTGATTAAAATATCATAATGCTTATGTAAAAGAAACCTTTTTTTCACAAGGAAGATTTTCTATGTACATAAAACTGCTAAACTGAAGGAATGTTAAAGTATTATAGATTTTATAACTTACTGAGAAGTTAATTGTAATTATGCTTAGTTAAAAATAACAAACCTGAAAGGAAATAAATCATGTTATATGTAATTGCCATTCATTACCTTTGGGATCCTCTAATTTTTCATTCACTCTTTCTTTGCATGAGAGTTTTTCAATTGGTTTAATTAAGTTTTCTTCTTCAGAGAAGGCAATAAAGCAGATGAAAGAAAAGGATGAAAATAAATGCTTTAGAAAAATAGAAAAACTGGATGAAATGAATGGAAGAAATAATAAGAATAAGAAATAATAAAAAGGAACAAATCTGAAAATAAAGCGTAAACAAGCTTTGCAAATTAGTAGTTTCCTACCTACAGACAAGATCAATTTTAAAAACAGCAACCCTAGACCTGTGTTTTATTATAATTACAAATAAGATGCATGCATTTTAGATTAGTAGAAATGGAAATATATTATGAGAAGGTATTACTTTTAATAATCCACAAAAAGACTATTATAGAATTTTGAAATTGGTTTATGATTCAAAAAGAGTGCTTCAAGATTTTGGAAGAATGTGAACAGAACCCATCCATGTCTCATTAAAGAAACATTATCAAAGTCTAGGATCATGCAATGGCTGCAGAGAAGCTTCTGATGCAGTTGTGTGATCCTGGAAGTGACTTGCTTAAATGACTAAGGGGCAGGTGCTCTGTCCACATTATTTGCTGCTCTGAAACACCTTTCCTAAGTCAGATCAAGAATTGAGATGGGCAACTGTATAAATAAATAGCCCTATCAGAATATATAATTTACCCCAAGAGTGACGAATTCTGTCTGACTCCCAAATTCTTGATATAACCAGATTTTAATGTTATGCAAAGATATGAATTCAGTTTTTGTACTGTACAATTTTTGAATGCAGAATTCTTCCAGCCTTAGCCTTACATTTTAAGTCATCCACAAATGGATGGCCTCACCTTAGCCCCTATGAGCATTCATAAAAAAATAAAAATATCAGGTCATCCAATACTTCATTTTGAAGCATTCCCGGCCTTTGGGGAATGAAGGGAAAGAAATGAGAACAGGTAAAGTAGGAAATGAGATGGCATATCAAGAAGACAGTGAGGAATGGAAGGAATGTTGTTTGAGCTCTTTACACATGTTGTTCTGTGGGAGTGATGATATGTAGGAGATTTGTTTTAATGAGATATTCATAGTCTCTGGTCAATTTTAGGCAGCAGCTAGAGGGGTCTAATCAACTAATTAAGGTCACAAAGCTGAGCTTCTTAACTTTCCCTTAGCACCTTTTAGGTAAGTACTATGATGGGGAGAACAACAGTTCAGGAAGAGATGGCTTGTTTAAGCAATCTCTCTGCCTTGCCAGGGGGACAAACATGGGTCAGGCACAAGAAACGATACCACAGAACAATGGGCCAGGCATAAGAAACGATTTCACATTAATTGCTGAATGCAACAGCAGCAACCAGTGACCTTCACAGCATCTTCCTCTTTCTGTCACATGGCTGGCTTAAAGACTATGTCACTTAGTGAGCATGTCACCTGAACCAACTGCAGTCAGTCACTAAACGAGAGCTACCTGTATGTATGTAGTGTGTTTTAATTTGGAAATTTCTACGTTCTTCTCTGACCTGGTTTCAAACCAATGAAAGAATGATGGAAGTGAATTTGTTACGTGAACATGGTATATCAGCAATTTTCATTGGCTAGAAAAGAAAAGTCCTTCCAGGCTGTGCTCAACATTACATTTAATATATACTCTTCTTGCGTACAGTAAAATGAAATCAGTAATGTAGGGGGATAATAATGTCACAACTACGACTTAAATCCAGTTAATCTATTTATGCCATCTAGCAAGAAAGTTACACATCCTAATTATCTAAACACATAAGCACATACACACACTCTCTTACTTTTATCCATTTGGAGACACCTTCAAGCAGGATAAATAATATCTTGTGAACTTCAATATCTGTTTTTATACTGCTGAAAAGCTGAAATGTCATCAAACAGAGAAACAACCTCTGGGTACATATATGTTGTGATCATCTCTATGCAAAGCCAAATCCCTATTCAAAACTATGCATATTAAACTGGAAAAGGGCATTATGCTTGAAAATAATTGTGGAAATAATAAATTTTATAAAATACATTAAAAACAATATAGGATGTGTAATACTGTATTACATTAATTACCTGCATTGACTTGATTGAAAGCGAGACCTCCAATTGGTGCTATTGATTTTGAAAACAAAGGATTGTTGTAAGTACCATGGATTCTTTCTTTAGTGACCACTCCTGAGGAAACATTCTTAGGATTTACACCTTTAAGAAATTATCATGCTAAAGGTTAATATCTATCAGTCACTCAGGAAGTCACAGTATATAGCTTCATGAATACAGGAAGTATTAAAAAAATACTTCCTATTGAAACTAATTTTAGATTCAGAATTGAAAAAAAGTAATCCTTAAAGAAAGTCATAAATAATTTAAGTTACAGGTAGTCCTTGCTTAATGACTCTAATTGAGGTTAGAATTTCTGTCACTAAGTAAAGCAGTCATTAGGCAAAACATATGACCACACTGCTTAGCAACAGCAATTCTGGTAGTTTCAGTTGTGGTCATTAGGCAAGGACTATATCATTGTCAGATGAGGTCCTCATGCTTCTCTTATACTGTGTCTCACTCACTATACTGCTTCATCTCACTGCCTTCTTCCCAGCCATTACTATAGCATACAAACAAACTTCCAAAACATCTTAGATAAATCAAAAGATCTAGTAGACCAAGAAGAAAAAACAGGAGTCATCTATAACAGCAACAGTGCCCTAACAATTTGGGCACCAGGGAATGGTTCCATGGAGAGGTTTTTCTGTGGACGTAGTTTGTGTGCTGCCTGCATCTCATAGATGAGGCTTCGCTTGTTTGCACAGCTCAGTTTCTGCCATGCCACGGCCTGGTGCCAGTCCACCGACTGGGGGCTGCAGACCCTTGATCTATAATATACAGTTTAACGACTATTAATAGCCACTAAGTAAGACAGACAGACAGAAGATTAGTAGAGCACATCCGTGAACTCCAATTAGCAGTCAGAAAACACAATGAGGACTCTAATATCACAACACATTGACAGCCTCAATCATAGCTTCAACTAGAAAACTGAGCATCTTAGATCAAGCTAAATTCAAAAATGCTAGGGAAACCTGGCACTCATACACATCAGCCACCAATAGATACGTAGAGATAAACCGTATTTAAAAGAGACAACAAAAGCTGAGAAGGTGACAAAAAGATCAAAACATATCCTCTCCAGCAGCCTACACCCAGAGAAGCAGGGATTAACATTAGACAAACAACTGAGCAGAAAGCAATTCCCTAATCAGGGAAAATCACATCCCCACCAACACTGGCAAAGCAAGCTACTGTATATAAACAGGGAGCAAACCCCACCAACAAACATCTGCAAGCAAACCACCAAACTCAGAGAGCATCCAGCGCTCCACTTCTAACTGGAATGCAATGCATATGCATGGTATGGAGGCTTGGACCTCTGCTGATTCTTATGAAAAGTCTTCAAACTTTTCAATGAAAGTTAAAAAGAAAACGGAAAACAAAATACCTCCTGAAGGGACTGATCTCAATTACTATCAGTTGAGGGACAGACAGCACCTACTATCAGTTCAGGGACCAGCTGCTTCCTCAGCCCCCAGATCAGAGGTGGGTTTCAGCAGGTTCTGACCAGTTCTGGAGAACCGGTAGCAGAAATTTTGAGTAGTTCGGAGAACCGGTAAATACCACCTCTGGCTGGCTCCGCCTCCATCTATTCTCTGCCTCCTGAGTCCCAGCTGATCGGGAGGAAATGGGGATTTTGCAGTAACCTTCCCCTGGAGTGGAGAGGGAATGGAGAATTTACAGTATTCTTCCCCTGCCATGCCCACCAAGCCATGCCCACCAAGCCATGCCACACCCACAGAACCAGTAGTAAAAAATTTTTGAAACCCACCACTGCCCCAGATCTCCCATAAACACAAACATACCAGAACATGTTCACACAGCTCAGATTTTAGTCTGAAAAATACAAGAGAAGATAACTTCACAGACCCTAGATTGCAGACGATATTATGAAAATCAAGGCCAGTTACTACTGGCTTAAGTCATGTCCTTACCCTGCTTCACCCAGCTCTGAAAGAGAAAATGAAAACAGCAAAGGCGAAAGGGCACCTATTAAAGCTTACTGAGGGAAAAACTACTCTCCTGATGGGCTCCATGACACCTGATTTTCTTGGGCTTTGTTATTTTTGATCATTAATCGTCTGGTCATATCAGCTAACTATTCTTTTATTATTTCAGTATCCAGACATTTTAAAGTGGATTTTTTTTTCATATTCGCTATAGCAGTATATTGCATGGAATGAGATTACTGAATGAAAAACACTTAAGTCAAAAAAGGCAGCAAAAATGAAATAAACAAGCATATACAGTATATACATGCACACACACACACCATTTTATTAACTGAGTCTGATAATGCGTTAAATAATCTCCTCTTACCAGGAACATATCTTGATTGTTTCAAATAGTACTGTTTTGCCGAAGTAGTTGATATTCCAGAGTCGTTTCTCTTCAGAACTTTGTTTTCTCCTGACCTGCCAGAGGTAGGAGACTTAGACTCAGGAACGCTGAAAATAAAGATTATGGAACATCACAAATGAATTCCTAGTCTTCTTATGATCTTAGGACTCTTATATTTTAATTCAGCAAAGAGTTGAATAGCACGTAGCAAGAAATTACATGCGGGGATAGGAAAATACATGAAAGCAAATCTTTTCCAAATAAACTTAAAATAAATTTAAAAACACAGCATTTTTACTGTACCATACAGTACCAAACACAGATCCTTTCTAATCCTGTGGAGAATTATTGTGATGTATGTGAGTATCACTATAGGTAGTCCTTTACTTATATTCACAATTGGGCCTGGAATCTCAGTCGCTCATTAAGATGTCACATGACTGCTTCATTCAACAACTATAATCCAAGCTCTCCGTGTTGCAGTCATTAAACAGAGCGCTGGGGAGAAGGCTTGGGTCTCTCAGTCATAGTGGAACAAGAGGAGGATATGGGCTTCCCAGTATACCTGGGAGTCCAAGCCCTTTCTCCACCCGCCAGGGAGAATGATCATGAGAACAATGGCATTTGCTAGTATTTTTGCCAGATTTGACGTCTGTTCCTCCAGCGCATTTCCTCTCATTTTAAGTGTGTCCTAACTTTAAACAGTTGTCAAACAACTGGTTATAAGTTAAGGACTACCTATATTTATATGCCGTTGGACTTTCCTGCTTTTGTTTAAGGTGCTGTCTTAATAAAAAGGGTAATCATGTCACTGATCCAGTGCCAATTCCATATTCCAGGGGTTAGCAGGGATTGCCAGCCACAACCATGCAGTTATGCCTTTTACAATGTTTATTTGTACTATGAGCTGATAATTATTTGCCCAAGTACCTTTGTCCAAAAAAAAAAAAAGATGCTAGCAAATGTCTATTAACTATTTTCATATTCCGGATTAAGTCTGTTCCTTAGCCTAACCACACCCTCTTTAAGTGGCTGGCATCATGTCCACATTCCAGAAGGAGTTCACAATCAATCCTACCTGTTGAGAAAATATAAGCTATATATAAAACAGCATAAAATACATATATTTAGCATTTATCAGGGCCAGATGGAGAGACTATATAATAATCACAAATAACAAAAAAAAAATGTAATACCTTACCTAAAAAGCGATTCTTTTGTTTTCTTTTCATTTAACACCACAATGCTAGGCTTCTTAAAATAAGAAATTCCAAATTCTGTATCATCAAAATCATCCCAGCTATCCATTGCCTTTAACATAGTTTGACCCCACCGGCGTCGATTGTTTTTCATACCCATTGTACCATTTGAGGGTCCTATGGCTATGTGTTTCTGTTTTGATTACAAAAAATTAGAAGTTATTTCTGATATATTTTAGAAGTTTACATTACTATGTTGAACTGGAAAAACTGCAATATGTGTTTGGTGGGGGGTATTTATTTCTGAGTATAGAAATAAAATAAATCTTGTCTTCTTCTCACAGTAAAAAAATATAAACTACAATACTTTTCAAATACTATAAGAGAGAATTATAATAAATGACCCGTTATAATCATTCATTCCTGTGAAAGAATACAAATGCCAGGAGCATTACTGCTGCCAAATTAATCTAGGATTGGATATGGAAATGCAATGTATAGAAAAAAAAGAACACAGCTACAAAAAGGTTAACAGAGATAAAGAGATGTAGTTAGAGGGGAAAAAATGGGAAAAACATGTGGTATGCAGAAACAGCACAAACTACAGATGGAGAAGATTTTTTTATAAAATGGGAAAACCCAAGGAAAATTTTGTAATAGTTCATGGAGGAAATGGAGGGGGAGTGCAGAAAAACTGATTTATGAAGACAGGGTTAAAGAAATAAAAAATAGTAAACCAAAATGTCCTTGAACATTAACATGTGATGAAATATTTTTGAATTCACGAGAATATATTGTAAAACTACCTCTCAAAGTGGTTTGAACCGAGCACTTCTGGAGCAATTATAGACTTGGTCATAAGTTGTTTCTGAGTGCAACTTACTGATATTGAGTTTTTACTGATGGCTGGAAGGAATGACTGAGGCTGTTGCTGTACTGATGGTTGCTGACTCACTGCATTCTGAGGCAGCTGGATTGACTGGAGGGGATGTTGGTTATTCTTGGATGGACACTGTAGCTTATCAGTTACATCTAGTGAAGACTGAGATTCTGGCACAGATACAGCTTCTAATTTTGATATATGTTCAAGTTTGGGCAGAGATGGTTTTCGTTCTGTTAACTTGGGATATGGCTGTTTCTGATTGATGCATTGTGAAGGTGGTCCTAAAATCTGGCCCACTTGAAAGTAAGGAAACTTCAATGCCTAAGGAAAAAGACAACACTAATAAGTATATGGCAGCTAAAAGAATGCAACTAAAGATCTTGCCAAATAGAGGGTTGAAAAAATATATATAGGAGGTTATACAAAATGAAACAAACCAGAGTTACTGGAGTCCAACAGGACTTTTAATTTCATGGAAAACAAGACTACTGCAGTTTAGTGACTGAGAACGTAAGCTTGGAAGTTCAAATCTCTCATTAACCATAAACCACTTAAGTCATGCCTAAGCCACTAGCAATTTTCCAAAAACATTCTAATAATTTCTGTGAACCAACACTTTGCCTATGGTCTTTCCCTTCTACTTCCATATACCTTGTTAAATTTAATTCTTTTCTAGTTCATCATTCCTGCCCACATCTGGCTTAAGTGTAAGCTTGCCTGCCGATCATCAGTATCATCATCATCGCTTTTAAAGTTCAGTATGTGGAAATGCATTTATACATCGAAAGGGTACTGTAATTAATAATATTTAAAATCTATTTTTGTTGACTTTTCTCAAATGCTCAGTGTACAGTAGCTGATAACCAGGCAGAGGGCAATTTTTTCTCTTTGTTTATCTAAAGCTTTGAGAAACAAGTTGTTGAAGATCAACAGGGAAAGACATACACATAACTTTTGGGAAGTATCAATTCATAAAGTCATTTCAAGCACCAAGAATGACAGATTTCTTGTTAAGAACTTCCTGATTTCCCTAAAGCAGGGTGGAAAATATGTAGCCTTCCAGCCTTTGTTGCGCTCCAATTACAGTCATAGATATAGACACTTGTTTCTCAACAGAGTACATTTTCCATGTTGTTTTATTTAATAAAATTTCAAATACATTGCAATATGTTTTATAGTTAATCTTATGAAATAATAGGTTTTCCTTTCTTTTAAGATACTTGGTTAAAGAAAATTGCAAAAGTATTCTGTATATTGTGCAAGTGCTTCTAACAAAACCATTTTTGATTTTGATGAAGTGCTTGTAAATGACTCATGAGATTGTGAGCGGGTTTTTTTTTTGCAATAGCTTATACTCATTGTATAAGCAAAATTGCCATATTGTTAATACCACCGGCCTGCATACCTGACTTGCTGTAGGTCGTTTCTTTGGATCCCAGTTTAACATTTCATTCATGAGAAACAATGCCTCACTGCTGGCATTTGGAATGAGAGTCTTTAGATTTATTGAAACACACTGAGGGAATCGAAAATTCATGGCAGCAGCAAGCTGGTAACCTTCTGGCCAATCATTCTGTATAGGAGAACAACAAGGTAGTCTTTAAAACTAAAATAAGACAATTTTATTATTTATTGTTGAATGTGTACAACTATTATTTTTGGTTAATTTGTTTAACCAAAACCCAAACTTGTTCACAGGTAGTCCTCAAGTACTGATTGCAATTGTGACTGGCAACTCCATCACTTAAGTGACATGATCACAACATGTAATGATATATGAGAATGACCTTGAGGGACAAAGTGAAGATATGTTGCCTAGGACAAAACAATGAGGAAGCCCCCAGTGGCTTAACAGTTAGAGGAAGAAACTTAGGATCTGCCCTAATTGATCTGGTGGTTAAAAGTGATGGCAGGAAATCTGTACCTTCAGACTTCAAAAATTATGTTAATGTAGCCTAACAATAAAATAGAATTAGTTCATCTAGTTGTGTTTCCTTTCTGGTTTACTTGAAAGAGCTGACATCAATCTTGCAAGTCTCAAAGTACACATTTCCTACTTGTGGCTTCCTTCTGGCTTTCCCCATTGACTCTGCTTGTTGGAAACTGACACTGAAAGTAACAAATGGTGATCCCAAGATCATGGGATACTGCAACCATCATACATGCCTTCTGATTGCCAAGTGCAACCACTTAACTGCGGGAACACCATGATACCAACTTCAAAGACCAGTCGTAAATCTTTTCCAGTGATGTCATTAACCCTGAATAGTCTCTGAACATGCAATGGGTGAGGATTACCTGTGCTATATACTGGAAAGTTAATTATAGTGATGATGCCAATCCCCACAATGAAAGAATGGGTGAACAAATAACAGAGCTAGCAGAGATGACAAAATTGATTGTTTTAATTAGAGAAAAGAATGTATCCAGCTTTGTTTCTTTCTGAAAATTGCTTCTGAACCTGATTTGGAGTGGCTGCTCCTGGGTGTGAGAGTGCTCAAAGGTGTGCGATTGGCAGAAGGGCATGGCATGAGCTCACAGGGACTTGGGGTGGTTGCTGTAAGGTGAGAGAGGGTACGCAAGTGGGAGAGGTATGGCATGAGCAAAGTGGGGCTTGGGGTCGGCATGCATGGAGGTGGAAGACTTACCTGAGCAACTTAAACAACTTTCCCTGCTGGTTTCCCCTTTGACTTTGCTTATGCAAAGCCAGCAGAGAACACTGCAGTTTGCAAACACAAGACCATGGAGTGTTGCAACTACTATAAGCAAATGCCAGGCCACCAAGTGCTCAGATCATGATTACATGACCAGGGCTGCTGGGACAGCCAGAACTTTGATAATCAATCTTAGCCACCAGTCATTAAGCGCCATAATTTCAAATGGTTGGTGAATGAGTGGTCGTTAACCAAGAGCTACCTGTCATTTTAATTTTATTTGCACCAATTGTAATAATATGCATTTTCAAAATACTTTACCTTCTTTGGTGTTCCTAACACCTGGCAAATTTTGAAAATTTCATCAACTTCACTTGTTCCTGGAAAAAGTGGTCTGAGTGTATATAGTTCAGCCATTATGCTACCAACAGCCCAAAGGTCAATAGGGGAACTATAAATAGAAGATCTCAATAAAACTTCGGGTGCGCGATACCTAAAAAGGGTGAAGAGAAATAATTGATAACTGGTCAAGAGGCTTATAAGTGAAATCCCCATTAAAACTCACACTTACCATCTGGTAGAAACATAATCTGTGTACGGAGGCTGAGATCTTAGTTCTCTAGCCAATCCAAAATCAGCAATTTTAACAAGTTCTGGACCCATACAAAGAAGGTTTTCAGGTTTCATATCACGATGAAAAAATCCTGTAAACATGAATGTAGAATAAATAGATAACAATGGAGTGGATTTCAAATTCTATTAACAATAGGATTCTTTATTTTAAACTACACGGATTGCCATACAAATCTGCTTTTAAATTTTGTTTTCAAACTGCACTAAATACAAACTTCAAAAATTTATCAATCAGGTATAACTGGGAGCTAACCTATTTCACAGATCTGTTACTAACTGGATCAAACTACATTTAAGTCACTGGGTCAATTACATTTGATACGGTTATCAAAACTTTAAAAGAGATATTTTTTGAGATATAGAATGAAATTAAGAATAATATATGTTTAATGAACAAAAGCAAATAACTAGGTCAGATATTTTCATGATTAAAATAAATTTAGCCTAAGCATCATTCAGCCTACATTTAATGTAAATTTCTTCATACCCCTTTAAATACAGCCAAAATTGTATATTTTAAAAGCATATCATTCACAGCAACAATAATCTTTGAAATTTGTTCTCCCTTTTTAATTAAATCTTGCAATAATATCACAAGTGGTATTAGAAATCAGGAATCTGATTCTCTGAAATAGATTGCAGCAAGACCAATGCAGGAGTAGATAGACGTATAGATCATCAAATGGCAAAAAGATCATAAAATATTACAATATAAACAATAAAATTGAGAGAAAAAATAAAATGTCAGGTAGCTAACATTTTAAGATGTAACAAATCAAAAGTCTCTGTTTCTCATAATAAATTTATATTATCCCAAATCCATACACTCTGCTACTAAAGGAGTGTCTTCTATAGAGTTCTACAAAGCTGCACCTAGCTCTACAATTTCTGTTGGTGCAGAACACTGTAAAATGCACTGCCTGCATTCTAACAACACAAATGGATAGGAACATTTGTACCCTCTAATAAAAATTAGGAAGCCAAATATTATACAAAGGCATAGAACTACTTTATTCAACTTAATACCATCTCTTGGATACTATACAGTACACACTATGAAATATGACAGCCCATTAAATGTCAATAATCACAAATGTGAACAAAGTGAATTAGGATTAGTGTGGTTTTGGAATAAGTGTTGGCCATCAAAAATCTGATTAACACTTACAAAAAAGTGTCCCCTACAAGAAATCAAATGATTAAATCTAGCTCATACTTCCATTTGAAGTGACTTTTTGTGCCCAAATAAAGCACTGTTCTGGATGGAATCCTATGCCAAGAAACTGTAACATTGACAACCATCAATCAATTAATATAGTTTCTGGGATTCAGGTTCCGGAATATTTGATTCTCAAAGTAATCTGATTTTTCTCTAAAATAGTTTATTTAGCAATTATTTTAAACTTTTTATCACTGGACTATTGGGACCATATATCATATGTCTATTACTTCTCCTGTTTGATAAAGAGTACATTAGTCTATTCACTCAAATACTACACAGTAGTAGCAATATATTCTACTCACCATGTTTATGGATAAAAGCTAACCCTTGTAATATTTGATACATAATGTTCCTGATGACAGACTCTGGAAACAGTTTATTTCTGTAATGCAACAAATGAACAAGGTGAAGAAAAACAGGATACTTTTCAGATACAAACAAATATGCTTTATTATTTCATTTATTTATTTATCCAACGCCTTAATCACTTTTTCAAAAATAAAAATCATTGTAACAGATGTGTGACCTTAAAGAATTCAAGTTTCAATAAAAACAGATCCCCTTCTATTAATAAAAATGCCAGGAACCAGGAAAAGTTCTTAGTTGGAAAAAGGAGAGAGGTGCATTATTTCCTCTTTCAAAATCCTTTATAAATTCAGCACATTGGAAAAATATTTTAATCTTTGGATCTTATTATTCTAGTGCTTATGATGAAGTAGCAATCAAGTGTGTGGCTTATTCGGGGAGAAATAATAAAGAGGCTTAAGGGTAAAAATTTTACATTTTTTAAAGAAAAAAATATACAATTCATTGCTATCAAATACCAATAATATAATCTGAGAACAGCATAGGTTCCACTTTTGGCTTACTGTATAATATGAATTAATTATGATTTAGCAACCATTACATCTAACATGGAGAGTCAGTTTGATGTAGTAGTTATGGTGCTGGTCTAGAAACCAGGTAACTAGTCCTGCTTTAAGAATGAAAGACAGGTGACTTTGGGTCAATCACTATTTCTCAGAACAACTCAGTCATAGGCCTTTGTTGTGAGGCAAATAGGAGAGAAAAGAATATTATCTATGTTTGCTACCTTATTAATAAAAAAATACAGGTGGGATTTTTTAAAAAATCTAATAAATATCAAAAATTATACTTCATTAAACTATTGTGTATGTTTTGAATACACAGAGAATTATTAAAGCAAGTGAAAACAGCAGATTGGTTCTAAACATACCTGTCTTTCATTAGCTGATACAGATTTTCCTTCATATATTCAAACACAAAATACAGATGGTCATTTTCTCGAATAACTTCTTTCAGCTTTATTACATTGGCATGATTAAGTTTTTTCAGAGACTACAATACAAGACAACAAATGGGAGAGGTTAGTTCAAACTTGAATAGAAGTATTTACCAATCCTAAAAGCATACAGACTTTGTTTCTATTATGACTTAAGATGCAAACTAAACCTAATGTGGAGATCTTTAAAATTTACAAAGTATATTGCCCTAAAATCTATATTCTAGTTAAATTTCTCTGGGTGCCTTTTCTTCCTTGTTTATCTAATCTATACAATCCAGATGAAATTACTGCTCACAAAAACCTACCCTAGAAAAGTCTGAAAGGGGGAGAGGAGGTTCCATTTTAGCATAGACAAATCCATTTGCATAAACTATTCTCCATTTGTATAATGCAAACCAAACAAAACAGGACAAAAGCACAAATTATTAGCCTTTATTCAGCAAATAACTTCCTTCAAGGATACTTTAAGAAGCCTTCAATCTATAAATGACTTTTATCAATACCAATTAGCCAAGATCTTAACAATTCATTTTCTTTCTTTCTACATATTAGAGAAGAATGTTAATTAGAATAGCAAATCTGGAGTATTTGCACTGAACATAATTTATCAGGTCTAAATATATTATTAAAATTATACTACCCTAATTACCTTAACTTCCCTCAGATTCATACATTCATCCCAAGAATAGAACTTTCTTTTCATTCTGAAATAAAAGTTAAAAGAAAACTTTAAAATAAGAGAATCATACCCCCCAAAATTGTATAAAACTTGTTAAAATATACTAATTTTAAAATATTATTACATAGGCTCTTACTTTAAGAGAAATCCAGCAGGAGAAACACCCCTCTGTTTTTGAGGTTAATTCTTTTAAAAATCCAGAATTGAATAAAAAGATTCATTTGGGACCATTTTGACAGTTACTGTTTGCAATATCCAAAATCTCTCCTAATTCACCAACATGGTCCCAAATTTGTACAGCATCTCAACAAATTCAACAGCTAGTGCAGATTTATTATCTTCTATCAGTTTCACAAGGAGAAAATTCAATTTTTTTTCCCAAATGGGGGTGGGGCAGGAACAAAATAAAAACACTAGTTCTCCCTTATTTCCATCCTGTAGCCAAAACCTGGCAGAACAATAAATAACCTGAAATTTCCATTGTCAAAATGCTTTAAGATAACAGGTTGAAGGTGAGCAAAGGTAGCAAAGTGGGGAAAGATATGCTAGCACAACCCTATAATTTGATCTCACGGAGATCTCACAAGGTGATATGTATAGGACTGTGCCGTTAAGTATTAAGTGAACATCAGGATATATCCTGATTATATCCATTATATCAGGATATAATGACATACCTTTTGATGGCCACCAGCTCCCCTGATTCATTGCTCTTCCCCATCAGAACACTGCCATAGGTTCCGTCCCCAAGTTGCTTCAGAGTTGTATAACGATTCATTTTGTAAAAAGTAAGATAGCCAAATGCTCAAAAATCTTAAGTGTTTCTTTTTTCAGAATGGTGCTGTTATACCATTAGTAAACTGTCATAGTAGTTGCTTAAGTCATCAGTCTTCTTTCAATATTATAACCACTCTATCCAGAAATAATATAGTAGCAAATGGAGAAAAGCTGCCATCCTTACATGGATCCTTAATAACAAAATATATAATATAGAAAAACGTTAAACACAAGTGATTGCGCTGGTATAATACAAAATTCTAAATTAACATTCTTAATGTAAAACTATGCATTCAGATTGGACCCAAAACTATGCAGAAGATTGGACCCAAAACAACAAAACTTTCTTGCATATGTGAATACAGGTAGTCCTTGATTTACAACAGTTTACTTAGTGACCGGTCAAAGTTACAACAGCACTGAAAAAAGTGACTTATGTCCATTTTTTTACAGTTACAACCTTTGTAGCCTCTCCATGATCATGTGATGAAAATTCAGATGCTGGGCAACTGGTTCATACTTACGACCATTTATGTGACTCAAGATCATGGGATCACCTTTTGCAACTTTGTGACTAGCAACGTCAATGGGGAAGCCAGATTCACTTAACCACCAGGTTACTAACTTATTAACTGTGATGATTCACTCAACAACTGTGGCAAGAAAGGTTATAAAATGGGGCAAAACTCCCTTAACAAATGTCTCACTTAACAACAGAAATTTTGGGCTCAATTGTGGTCATAAGTCAAGGACTATCTGTAACCTTTTTTACCTCTACAGTTGCACAGGACTCTATCTGTATTCCGAATCTATTAATATTGGTTAAGGCACCAGGCTAGAAATTATGAGACTGTGAGTTCTAGTTCTGCCTTAGCCATGAAAGTCAGCTGGCTGACCTTGGGCCAGTCACTTTCTCTCAGCCCGACCTGCCTCACAGGGTTGTTGTTGTGGGGAAAATAGAAGGAGGGAAGTGTGTTGGATATGCCTACTGCTTGAGTTATTTATAATAATAATAAAGGTGGGATATAAATATATAAGTAAATAAATAAAAAAACAAGCAAGCAAGCAGACTATACTTTGTTGTGTATGGAATATATCCAACATAATTATTATACACATTAGAATTATTCATCTACACATGTCTGGGAGAAGCAGCAAGGCAACATATGCTTTTTATCTATATTTGATTTGTTTTAAAGAGGGAGAAATGTAATAAAGAGGTTTAGTCATATTTCTTTGATGTATTTTATTCAAAATCATATTTTTATGTAAAGCTTTGTTTTATATATTATAATAAAATGAAAGGAAATACTGATAAAATGATAAAATGAAATACTGACATTGCCATTAATCGCACCTGAATCCACAAAGGAAACTCATACGCAGTAAGATTTAACTGGGTACATAAGGTGTGAGCAAAACTGAAACAAATATTAGAATATATACAGGGTTTTCTTTTAGAGGTTAAAACTGGAAATTTAATTTAAATTTCTGTGTAAAAAGATTAATGCATTTCACTGCAGATAATGCTAATGTATCTGTTTAGTGACATAACAGAGGGAGTATAGAAGAGAGTATATAGCCTGAAAAAAGGAGCAAGAAGGAAAACATAACTATCCATTTATTATTTAATTCTATACCTGATTCTCCATATTTTAATACTTTTAAATACTCTGCAAGTATTTATTATTATTATTCTATCAGGTAACCAGTTTGGGACCACAGAATATTCTATACAGACCCACAGAGTATTCTGTACAATGTCATCTGACCCATGCGAACCTATTGTAAACAACAGATTGTTCCTTATTGTTGAGAATAATCTACTCAAGTAGCATTAAGAAAGGATTACAGGAGAGGACAGATAGAGGACATGTTAACACAACTCAGAAATTCCTAGCAGTATGAGAAAATTCAGGAACAAAAAATCATGAATTAGAATTTAGAACAATGAATTTTAATGAGTTAGCTGATATTAGTAATTATTTCAATTGATAATAATGGTAAAACTATTATTTCAAGTTACAATTTTGTACTTATAAAAGAACTTAACAATAGAAATTGAACATGCAAGAACACTGTATTTTAAAAAGATGACATATTTAATGATACAAACTACAGGTAGTCCTCAACTTACAACAGTTCGTTTAGTGACTGTTCAAAGTTATGATACTGAAAAATGTGACTTAGGACCGTTTTTCATAGTTACGATCTTTGTAGCATCCCCATGATCATGTGATCAAAATTCTGATGCTTGGCAACTGGTTCATATTTATGACCATTACTGTGTCCCAGGATCATGTGATCACCTTTTGTGACCTTCTGACAAGCAAAGTCAATGGGGGGGCCAGATTCACTTAACAACCAGGTTACTAATTTATCAACTGAGGTAATTCACTTAACAACTGTGGCAACAAAGGTCGGGAAATGGGGCAAAAGTCACTTAACAAATGTCTCACTTAACAACAGAAATTTTGGGCTCAATTGTGGTTGTTAAGTGGAAGACTATCTGTATAAAAATCATTTTAAGCTGACAAGACTGTGTACAAAATAATGCCATACCAAATTGAACCCAGATCTGTGCAATATTTCAATCTGAAAGCCAATTCTGCAAATGATAACATTCTGACTAGGGGGCGCTCAAACAACAATGTGCCTTGCCTCACCACTCGCCTCCCAATAGGTCAGATCAACCAATCAGCCTCCAGAATGTGCAACTCCACACAACACATAATTGAGAGTTGGGAAGTGTGTGTGCCGGCCCATCTGCAATCTAGCAGCGTAGGTATGTGTTGACACCTAAACACAGTTGCAGACAAGTCTAAATCGAGCTTAAATAGACAAATTTATGCAGTTTTCCTGACAACGTTCTCAGAAATGGTTTGCCATTGTATTTTTTCGAGGGTTGAGAGTGAGTGATTGGCCCAAAATAATCCCATTAGGTTCCATGCCTATGGAAGAACTAGAATTTAGGCTCTTGGTGCAACACCTTAATCTCTAAATAAAACTATTAAACAGAAGCAGCAAAGAGTGCTAGTCATTTATTTCTACCTTGTCCTAATGAAAACTTTATATGCAACATTCCATAGCAACTTTGAACTGGGAGAAGTTCAAAGAAAATAATTGCACAACATATTATTGTCAAAGACAGGGAAAGATAAATTATATCCCAAATCTGGATTGTATCACTATATGAAAAACTATGCATTTGCTGAACACAGGTTCCACTAAAACAGATTATTCCTAGATTCTGGCTTTGTTAATATAATGCAAAGGCTGATTAATATCATTCTATATCAATATTTAACGGTATGGGGTTTTTTTTTAAATGGGCTGAATGACTGTTTCTATGCATAAAATACATTTCCTTATTTTGGTTTGACTTTGGGTGTGGCTTTTTAATATTAAAATAATAATAAAAAACAGCATGTTAACAAGTACAGTTACCATAGTCTATGGAGATCATGCTTATAAGATGCTTTAAGATGTATAAAGCATTTCACATAAATCTCATGCTGGACTCCTAATGCTTAGTCCTATAAATAACTGAAGCAGCAAATGAGTGGACTGTGCTATTAACTCTTAATTATGCTAGGTTAATACTTGATGGGCCTTACTCACGGAAACTTTATTTTTTTAAGATACACCCTATGGATGCTCAATTTTACTTTTTATTACACTTTTCATTTTTATGTTTTCTCATTGAAACAGTAAAACAAAATAACTATGTTCTAACAGTTTTAATTCTCACAAACAGAAATCAAAGGCAGTCTTCATACATATTATGCAAGTAAAAGCCCAGCTATTCTCATATTGTAAACACATTTGCCTCTGACTTCAAGAGTATTCATAATAGCTACACAATGTTCATTATTATTATATTTTGTTTTTAATCTGGAAATAATTTTAAATCTTTGTTCAAATGCTAGAACTGATGGAAGGTGGCCACAAATGTATATTCATAAAATATACTTTTTTAAAAATATGAGACCAAAGAAACCTGTTCCTTCATATATAAGTAAAATGCTATGAAAACACAGAGCTAGATGCTACCCCCTCAAAACTCTGCTATTACGGTAACAATTATAAATTGAAGATGTTTTGATTATGAAAAAAGAAATGTATCTGAAATGAGCAGAGTTTCTTTCAGTCTTCTTCCTTGTTTACTTTTACAGGATAAATTGTTGTTGTTGCTAAACACTGACAAGGTGTTACCAAGGTGGTAAAACAGATATTGCTCATTCACAGAGTCCTGTGAAAACTAAAGTCTTCTTTAGACTTATGACTAAATGACATGAATTAAACTCTCTTTTCTTGGTGACTGTACATCTGTCATCATTTCTATATTTTCCTGAAAGATTAAGAAGTTTTTAAAAGCTTTCCACCATTTATTCCACAATATTTTCTTCACTTACTTAAGACTATTTTCTAATTTCAATGGAAGGTACACTTCAATCCTCTGAAGAATTGAGTATACCTATCGAATACTATGTATAGTTATTCCTACTTGTGAAAAAGGAAGTCAAAATACTGGATTTAATCCTTTTCAGTAATAAAAATACACAAAGTTTAGAGACCGTTTGAACAAAGTTCATTAACTGAATCACCAGATTATTTCATTAAATTTCTCACCAAATTGGAGGAAGAAATATTTAAGTTCACAGTAATAAATCTGAACAGTCTCAGAACAAGTAGATGTTTAAATATATTAATATTTTATTACATATAAAAGATTAGCGCCATCTGACTGTGCTTCATTCTGATCAAATTATATAAATGTACAAAGGAAAGAAATATCTCTCCTATTGTAGAAACACTGCTTCATCTATGCATACTAATGCTAAGATCAAAATTATCCAACTACAAACTTCATAGTGCGCTTACAAATAATTATTTTGCAACAGTGTTAATAGTTCAAATGTGCTAATTAGGCCCACATAGTTCATCTATGAAAATATTTTCCTTGTAAAAAGCAAAGGCAAAATCTATTCTAATTATTTCATAGAGTCATGCACACATACCAGTACTTTATACTTATAAAATAAAATCTACTGAGTGCAGATGGCTCTAAAGGACTAAACATCTCTTATAGAAGAACAATCATATTGTCAGCAGAAGTGTGTCATTAACTTACTAACTAAACCCCAGGGCACCCATATTCTAATTGTTATTCCAAGCCAGGACAGTCCTTGGGTAACTGTCATTATCACAGATATTTTCCTAGTTCAAGAAGTTGTTGAGGAAATAAAATATGTAAAAAAAATGCTGCCTTTCGTTTTTTGAAGTATAATCCATAATGAATCAAAGTATAATCAGTAATGAATAAATAAAATTGGAACGTTATTGCAGATATTTCACTGTTGCCCATTGAAATGTAAGTTTTAGAAGGTTTAATTTTTGACACTGAACCTAAACAATTCCGTATCCCTCTCATGCTTAGGCTTCATAGGCTTATTCTCAACTTAATCATGGGTCAAGTGGCAAAACTGAAAATAAAAGGCCTGAGTCTTTCTTTTGAGCAGAGGTGCACAAAATCAAATTGTAATGCAACAGTACTTACACCTAAGAGAGAGAGAAAAGTCCGGGAATAAATCGACCTGAAGATGATTAAATAAGTTTGTTCTTGTAGTACAATGAAAGACTTACTAGTTACTCTCTACATCAGGGGTCTCCGACCTTGGCAACTTTAAGCCTGGCGGACTTCAACTCCCAGAATTCCCCAGCCAGCTTAATAGAAAGGCAAAGCTGGCTGGGGAATTCTGGGAGTTGAAGTCCGCCAGGCTTAAAGTTGCAAGGTTGGAGACCCCTGCTCTATAGATGCTTTGGGACTTACTTCAACTCCCATCAGCCCCAGTCCCTGCAGCCAATTGTGGAAACCAAACTCCAAAATATTTGATGGGACCCGCGAGTCGCGAACTCGAGTCCCGCAGGAAAACCCAGCCCTGTTTCGACGCGCCGTGACCGCCCACCATCACCCCCCACCCATCGTTCTCTTCGCCCAGTCACTATGACTCCGTCCTCCCGGGCCGCGCACTCACTGCTGAAGTCTTGGCCGCCCAGGGAGGGTCGAGGGCCTCCTCCTCCTCCTCCTCCGGAGCCTCCTTTCCTTAGCTGCCTCATCCCACCTCCGAACCGTCGGCAGCTCCCTCGATACTAGTGAGGCCGGGCTCCGCACCGACTTGTCACCTTGGCAACAGCCTTCTTAGCGAATCCCCAAGCGAACTTGCCGACGCGAGCGAGCCACGAACGGAGTGGGCGGGACTTAAAGAGAAAGATGAAGAAGAAGAAGGCAAAGCCAAGCGTGGAAAAAAAAACGGGAATCAGAGTGGGGTGGGGCGCTCGCGCTCGCTTCGAGTTTCTGATTGGCTGACTGGGAGACGATTCCTGACTACGGCTCGCCGCCGGATGACGCCTGCGCAGTACGTGATTTAAGCCTCGCCTCACGCTGAGGGAAGGTTTGGGAAGGAAGTTTGAAAAAGCCGCAGGAATCGTTGGCTGACGATTATCGCGAATTCTTTTTATTTGTTTCAAATCAAACGTGGTAGAATTAACTTTACGTACAACTTTCTAGATTATTGTTTCTCAATTTGGCAACTTCCCCCGCATGCTGGCTTTGGGAATTCTAAGAGCTGAAGTCCACACAACTCAAAAGTTGCCAAGATTAAGCCTCGCTGTTCTTAGATCATAAACCATGTTAAAGACAGTAATTGGGTTCTCCCAGCACACTGACCTAGGAACTATCTATGGTACCGGGTGCTCATCGCTGGTGGTTTTTAAGAAGCGATTGGACAACTCTTTATCTGAAATGGTATAGGGCTCTCCTGCTTCAGCAGGGGTTGGACTAGAAGACCTCCAAGGTCCCTTCCAACTTTGTTATTCTGTTACTGTAATCACTTAATTTGGCATGTTGTGCAAAACGACCAAAAAAAGTTGATTAAATACATCACCGGCCATGGTTATTCGTGGATAACCAAGTCATACCGTATAAGCAGGGCTATTGAGACTTGTAACTTAATAATAACCAATTGCAGAAGTTAAGCCATTTTGGGCTTTGTACTGCCTGAATAAAGGACTACCAGTAGCCTATCCTGGGAAATCAGAAAGCACTCTGGAATAAAGTGGTGGCAAACCATTTCCGTGCTACTGTAAAAACAAAGCACAACTGTATGAAGTCATCAGCAGCTCAGCTTGAGTCAAGCCTTTCCTTTTCAAAAATGCATATGGAATGGCAATGTCCAGTCATGTCCCTTGGAGCCCAGGACACTTGTGGGAGAGCCTGGCCTAGCACAATCTGCTGCCAGCCTGAAGCACCACTGTTATGAGAGAATGCTGAAAGGCTCCAGAGATGCACTTTTTCCTCTGACATAGCAGGTATACTTGCAGTACAATAGAGAAAAAATTGGATTTGACAGATTGGGATCCTATATCTAAGAGAATACAGAATGTTCCTTTATATATGGAAGAACATAGAAGCTGGATTAGAATAGCATATTAGCCAAACTAAAAGAACATGAGTAATTTATGGTTCTTTATACTGTGGGAGTGTAGCCATTCTTTTAGCTCATTGTATGAACTAGCCCATCAAATGAACTGTATCACAATATGGCTTAGGCATAGCATTCTGTGTAGATACAGGAGTATCTACACAGAATACCCTAAACTTTTCTTGACAGGGCTATTGTAAAGTGTCTGCAGAGTTGCTTATCTTCCTTACCACAGATTTCAACTTGTGTTGACAGGTAAATTGATTCCACCGCAAGTCAACTGTGTAAAAAAACAGATAACAGACTCCATTCTCTAAAGGATAAACTGTTGAAAACATCACATCTTCTCAGGTTAAAGAAAGTTCAAAAGAAACTTTATAACTGATGCCATAAGTTAAATTAAGTGTGGAACATTCCTGCTATTGTTTACAGAATATGCTTCTAGATTTAAGTCCTAGCTTAATGAAGAAGGAAAAAACAGACTAATTTGCATTTAAATAATAATAAATACATTGCCAATTATCAGGTAAGCTACTTGTAAGTGCAACATGTTTGCAAAATAGGTATATGCAAAACTTTTCAGGGAATTTCAGGAGGTTCAATTCCCCATCCAGTCACCTGAACTTCTTATGGACTGGGGCTTTTTGTTGCAGTTCTGTAAATTCTGTAAATTGGAATTTCTGTAAAATTGAAAATGGTTCAAAGTATTCCAGACTCCAAACAGAACTGTTTCATTTGGCATGCCATGTCTAAGGTCTCTTGAATTACCTCCAGTTAAAGGGATTAATTTTTTGGAAAGGATTTACTTTTTGAAACCAAAGGACTTCCCCCTCAATGGCATGGTCCAGAGTGAGGAAATACAACAGTCTAGAGATCTCCATATTTGTTTTGTTTTGTTTGTTTGTTCAATTTCTGTGGTCACCCATATCAGTTAATAACTCTGGCCAGCTTACAATTCAGAAAATATATTATTTCACACCTGCACAGATACTCCCCCTACCCATTGCCTCCTGTACAACAGATACCCACATGCACACATGTACAATGCCTTCTGAACTAAGAAGCAGATTTGGAAGGCAACATTTATTGCCATATAGAAGGAAGGAAGGAAGGAAGGAAAGGAAGGAAGGAAGGAAGGGAAGGAGGGAGGAAGGGTCCTTGGTGGCGCAGTGGTTAGAGTGCAGTACTGCAGGCCCTTTCTGCTGACTACCAGCTGCCTGCAATTTGGCAGTTCAAATCCCACCAGGCTCAAGATTGACTCAGCCTTCCATCCTTCTGAGGTGGGTAATATGAGGATCCAGATTGTTGGGGGCAATATGCTGCCTCTGTAAAAACTACTTAGGGCTATAAAGAGGGCTATAAAGAGGGATAGCTATTGCTATCCTTTTATGACTTCATTTTTGTTGTTTTATTTGTCTTGGATTATAACAGAAGGAGGTATAGTGGAAGAAGCATATAGAAGTTTGACATAATATTGCAGTCAGATCTACCCCTTTTTCTGCAGACTGGTAACATGCTGCTGATGAATAGTAGCAAAGCCAGAGGAATTAACTGGTTCCTTATAGTGCACTGCAGATGCTAAATCAGGACAATGGAATATTAACCAGTAGTACAGATGGTCTTTCACCTAAAATAGTTTTATACATGTTGCTTAAAGCATTAACAAATTGGATGGTTTTAAGGTGCCACACCTTGTTTCCTGTTAGGTTTCACCATCTGCAGCTGGTGAGGTTGTGGATTATGAGAGTTGTAGTCCAATATTCAGGTTATAATTACACAAGCATTAAACATGATAGTATCCAGTGTGCTTTAGAATTGCAGACCAAAAAGAATATGTATTTGGGGTGATCTCGTACAAATCTGCAAAAAAGCTTCTGTTGAATTTAAGTGGATTTATTTCCAAGTAAATGTGTAAAGATTTGCTATCTCAGTCTAGACAAAGAAGTACCATGTTTCCCTGAAAATAAGACAAGGTCTTATTTTCTTTTGACCCCCGAAATAAGCGCTTGGCCTTATTTTCAGGGAGGTCTTATTATTTTTGCGATGCAGGAGGCAACAAGCATGGTCACCTCATGGCTGCTGTTGAAACATCCGTTCGTCAGCTGTTTGCCCCTGAAGCCGTGCATGCGCTTCCAGCCATGCTTCCCAGGATTCTGCATCATGCCGTCAGCCCGGCCATGCCGCTGCGACCAGATGTCCTGTCACCGCAGTCGCCTCCCTGTTCTTCACTAATGGCTTTTGCAGCGGCCATTAGTGTGACAGATTGGGCACAGTGGCTAGGGTTGTGGGAGCGGCCATTAGGTAAGGGCATGTGGGATGCATGGGGCATGTTCCCCCCTCCCCCCCTCCGGCCTTGCCTCCTCACCTCCTGTTATTTGCGTGGCAAGCAACCAGAGGAAATGGCGGGGACTGGCTGCACATGCGTTTAAATATTTTCAGGGAGGGCTTATTTTCAGGGGAGGGCTTATTTTAGCGCATGCGCTCAAAAGCCTGATTGGTCTTATTATCTGGGGAGGTCTTATTTTCGGGGAAACGGTATGCTTACTTCAGCTTAATATTCATAATTATTATTTGGATTTTAATAATATCTGACTCCAAGAAGAATATGGATGGCTTACAATATTTAAAATATGTAATTAAAAACACAATTAAAACATAACAACATAAATGACAGCGGGGGTTCCATAAACACTCTAACCCCAGGCCTGGGAAAGAAGAACAAGTGTTAAGCAGTTCTTCAGAAGGTTTATCCATCAATACAATGCTGATAAACGTAACCTTATGCACCCATGTTTACTTATATGTGTTTTCTTTATAGATGATCTGTTTGTCTCCTTCCCTCGCTATCAAGTTTCTTTTCATTTTTTCCTATTTGGTAGTTCTTAGGTTTCATAGATAACAGCCAGTTTGACCTTAGAAGGAACCTCTGGTTATTTGCTGAAAAAGTGCAGTGTTTCTCAAAGCAGTAGGATGAACATGTCCTGATCAATTAGCACATCTTTTACCTTTATAGCCATAATAATAGCAGTGGGCCTTGCTCTTGCTGTGAACCAGGAAATGAAATGAAAGATAATAGGCAAGAGCTAAAAGATCCATGAGCAGCAATGCAATTTGTTAAAAAAGAAAAGAACAAAACCCCAAACCCTCGATATCGTGACAACTCAATATGTTTCTTCAGTAATTCATCTGATACTTTGACACATCCACAGGTCAGCTGCAAGCTGATTCCAGTTAAATATATTGCCTTCTCTAATACAATGACTTTCCAGTACGATTAACCCCGTGGTGTTTATTTCAAATTAAGCATATTGACATTGCCATTTTAGGCCCTCACCATTTAATTTTTTTAAACTGACATTATCATTTCCCTGACATCACTTTTCCATATTGGCCTTTGAATGTTGCATCTCATCTTGTCCCCAGTTCATGAGTAAAACTGTTATTAAATCATATTTTTTTCCTCTTAAGTGACATCTTACTGCAGCTTCAGGCTATATAAAATCTGTAATGTTTTGCCATCTATTATTTTAGGGGTAAGGTCAGTTGATGATCAGTAGTGTGTAAAGGAAATCTTAGGGGTTCAGGCATTCAGGCTATTGCTTGTTGAGTTCTGCTTCATTTTCCCTTTCCTGTAGCACTTTATTTCCTTAGTTCTGTTTACTATCTGTCGCCATCTTCTTTCCAGTCTTCCAACAAGTACAAATAAAGGAGAATACATAAATATGCAAAAAAAAAAAAAAAAGGCACCAGGACTCAACCTTGTGGCAGACTTTGTTTATTTATTTGTTTATATTTCACATTTCTGAACTGCCCTTCTTCAAAGAGGGACTCTGGTTGATGTACAAT